TTGGTTAATAACGGAGCCGGTTATTCAATTCAAATGAAAAAGGCGATTATCCAAAAAATATTAAATAGTTACTCAACCCCCAAAAAATTAATTTGTTAATATAACCCCGATTTTAATTGAGAGTTTTAGCGAGTTTTTATTCTGAAAATGAATTTTCCCAAGCCAAGAAAGAAAAAAACAGATAACGGGTAAAATTATCATATGAAGTTCAGCGTTGATTGGGCCAAATTAAAAAAATTCTTGCTCTGGCTAATTGGTTGGTGGTCAGTGGAACTTGCCCCCCCCGTCCGAGGCCGAATTATGAAAAAAAATGAAAAATCATTAGTTGGCAAAGCCTACTATTTTTGCGATTTAAAAAGTTGGAAAATAAAAAGCCCCCTCTCAGGAATTATCAGCAAAATATATCCCAATTATGCTATCCAAATTACTAATAAAGAAGGATTACAAGTGCTAATAAATATTCAAGTTGATAGAAAAAATCCCATGCCGCTTGATAAAATATTCCAATGCGAGGTCCGAGAAGGAGAAAAAGTTAACCAAAAAACCACCCTTTTTATCGTCTATTTAGAAGAACAAGTTATTAGTATTTCAGTCTATATTCCCTGACAGCCAGAAATTATTGGCAAAATTGGCGAGTTTGAAAAAAATGATAAAAAATGCTTTGTCACGGTATACTATCGCAACCCTTATTCAAAATTAAAATTTAAAAAACACGGAAAATATTAACGGAATTTTTGTCCCTTTCTTTTTTTTCATATTATTGTCTAATTGAAATAAATAATCTTTGATTATTTCATTCTTAAATAAATAATTACCCATAATTATTCTATTCTTAAAATGTTTTATTTATTTTCATGTTTGACGTATCTGTGAAATACTAAAATGACAACGCCAAAAAGCAGATAAAAATAATAATATGAAGTCAAAAAAGCGACAACCAATAATTTTATTGATTGGTGGTGTAATTGTTTTACTCTTAATAATCGGGAGTGTTTTCTTAATCAAACAAAAAAACGATAAGCAATCTTCTTCTTCTACTCCTAGTCAAACGCCTCCTAATAATAATCAAAACCCTCCACCCGAAAATCCGGAAAACTCAGCAGAAAAAATTAAGGAGGAATTAAAAAAATACTTAAAAATAGATAACAGTTTTGATTTGCCCACGGTCATTTTTTTTGATAATGCTAATGATGAAGCACTTATAGTTGCTAGTTGGGAAAAAACCGAAGTTGGCCGACCCAAGAAAAGAGGAAAAGCAAAAAATATTTCTCTGACTGGAATGGCTGCCTCTGATATTCAAGAAAAGGCAATTTAACTCAGCAAATAGAATCCCATAGAAAAGAATTATATGAGAGAGACATCGCAAAACTGGAACAAAATCCTAATCTACTCTATGAGGGAGCAATCGTCAAGGGACCAGCGAGAAACCCCACACAAAAATATTGACAATTTACCAGTCTGGAAAATGGAGAAATTATTAATGTTCACATTCCTATTAACCATCCCGCACTTGGTTATCTAATTCACAACATTGAAAAGCAATTAATTTTCCTAGCAATCGGAATTGACAAAATAAAAATCGAAATAATTTCCAAAAACGGCCTGGATTTTAAATGTAAATTTGTCGAATTAGAGGACCAAATTACGTTTGTTCCTTTTTCTGGTTGATAAAACCCCCCTCAAAACTTCTACTAATAACAAAAATTCAAAAATTAAATAATGAATAATGATCTTTTATGAAAAGAATTTTACTTAGATAAAATTGACCCCAGTTGAGTCCCTTTTTTTCAACAAGAAGCCCAAAAAGATTATTTTTTTCCTCTGCTGGAAAAATTAAGCCAAGAATACCAAAATTATAAATGTTGACCCCGAAAAGAAAATATTTTTCGTCTTTTTCGGGAAATTGCGGTTCACCAAATAAAAGCAATAATATTAGGACAAGACCCTTATCACCTACCCGAAGTAGCCGATGGCCTGGCATTTAGCACCCAAAAGCCCAATTATATCCCAGCCAGCCTAAAAAATATTTTTTTGGAATTTAGCAGAGATCTTAATTGTGTTTCTCCCACTAAAGGCGATTTGCTCCCCTGGGTTAAAGAAGGAGTTTTTTTACTTAATACTGCCTTAACGGTCAGAAACGGGCAAGCCCTCTCGCATATGAGTTGGTGAAAAGAATTCATTTATTCATTATTAATTTACCTGAAAAACCACGATCAAAGATTAATCTGAATATTCTGGGGCCAGAAAGCTAAAAGAATCGGTGAAGAATGTCAAATTGACAGTGAATATAGCCTGGCTAGTGCTCACCCCTCTCCTTATAGTGCCGAACACGGATTTTTTGGCTCCTGTCCTTTTTCCCAAGTTAATAAATTATTATCCGAATTAGGCAAAAAACCGATTGACTGGCTTTCTATTCTGCTTCCGAAATTAAAAAAATGCTAATTATTTTATTTGTTTTTTAGGGCAATGTTTGCAACAACCTTCTCCTAAATTTCCTTCCGGTGAGCGTAACTGCCGCACCTGTCCCTATTTCTGAATAGGTTTTATTGCCGATAAATCATTTAATCCGAGCATTCAAATAAAGAGTGATAAGTGTCTATCTAAAACAACAAACTTCATTCCTGCTTGATAAGCGGGTGTCATTTTCTTTTTTTAGGTTTGTTGTTTTTTTGCTTTTCCAAATTAGGGAACAGAAACTAGTCCTAAAAAAAGAAAGATTAGTGATAAATGACTAAAATCCGGCCATTGTTAATTTTTAGATTATTTTCTCGAAACAAAAGAATTTTCTTTAAGGTAAAATCTTCATA